CGATATAGCTATGACCACGCCCAGCTGTCAGTCGGGGCGTGGGCGCTGACTTTTCTTCGCCTGAAAAGTGTTGAATTACAAGAGTTCAAGTCAAAGTTTCCCATACACTTCCGCATCACCACATTCCCATCCTCCATCTTAGGAAACGAAGACTTTTTGTGCCTTTTAGCCATATAAATGACTCTCAGGGTTTTTTCCAGTTATGAAATGAGAAGAAAGCACTCCCTTGGCCTGCTTTCTCTGGGGAAAAAGAGATAAATTGTGGTGCTGCTGCTCCCCGTGAGACATTCGAAATATGCTGGTAATTATTTTGTTGAATGTCGTTCAGGTTTTAGTGGTGGAAATTTATTATCTTTCCACCGGTAGGACACCGAAAGAGAGAGAGCGAGAGAGAGAATGAGAAATGTGGTCTGTAGGTTAGTGGCTCCTCCTCATTTGCCCTTGCGACACATTTAATAAATGACTTTAATTGCACTCCATACTTGTCATTGAGGTTAAGGTGTCCCAGGGTCCTTGGGAAATTAACATTTTCCTCGGGACATTTATTAGGAGAGCGCTCCAAAGGACAAAACAAAAAAATCAAAGTGAAAACTATAAATATTAATTTTGTGTGTGGCTGAAATATTAGCTGGAAATTTGTTTAGGAGTCCGGGCTTATCTTCCACTTAAAACTTGGGCAGCACTAATGATGTTTTTTATTTTAATTTTAAGTGCATAAAGTCTTGGTAAGCAGTGAACTGAAACTCTAAAATTGCCTAAATGTTTCTTATGGAAATAAAATATTCATGTTTTTCTACGACTTTTACGACTGTTTCTGGCTTTCTGCTTTCATATATGTTCTGCTATTGTCTCATATTCTTCAGACTCTCTAAAAACCTGCGTTTTCTTGTAGTCTAAGTACCCACAAATACAGATCTTTTGCCTCTCTCAAGTCCCTGGTTTGTCTCTGCTCGAAACGTCAAAACGCAATTACAATTAAAATATATTGCCTGGACTCGCCCCAGAACGCCCAATGACAACGACAAGCGCTCTTCTGCTGGGCAAGACGAAAACACAGCAGCAGCAAATGGCAACAAAAAAGCCAGAGTCAAAACCAGTCAAGTCCCACAGCTCGAGACAATTACAGACACTGCAGTGGTGGGTCCCAGTGTCCCGTCCACCTTTGGGCAAATAAAAGAAGGAACTCAAGCCGCAGCAAAAATGCCAAAAATGTCAAGTGCAGGCAGGCAGAAGAGTCAACAAAGGAAGAGCCAGACGACTGACATCAGAAAAGAAGAAAACTGATGCTAAAGCGAAAAACCAGAGACAAACTTGAGGTAGAAATTTTAAGACATTTTTTTTTTACAGTTTTGATGTTTTTTACTGCACTGTGAAAATCATTCATTTCAGTTAAAATAAAATACCATGCAACTAGTTCGAGTGGGAATCGAAAATAAATAAATTGACTTAAAAATAGATTTAAAAATAGATTTAAAAATAGATTTAAAAATAGATTTAATAATTCCCCATTCGGCCACTGCGGGCAATTTCTATACTGAGTGAAAATTGGTTTACAAAAAAAGAAAACAATTTTTTGTAGCCTCCTTTTTTTTTTGTGAGACGCCTGCATGAATGGCTCGAATAAAAGTTTTTATTGGTACTTTCCTCTAGGCCACAAAACTAACTTATACTCTTACAGGAGGTATTATGGATTTTTATGAGATGTTTCAATGCAGAAATGGAAGCCAATTTTGGAGCCACGAAACAAATACTATAGTTACATTTTCAGATCTTTTAAAATATATATGAATAATTGCAGGTGGTGAATGTTCTTTTTTTGTATCATTAGAAACGAATGTGTCCTTTCGCTAATGGAAAAATTTGTGTGCCTTAAGAACTTTCAAGGGTATCTACTGCTTAGTACTCCGAATCCTGCCTTTATTTTCTTTGGCTTTTTTTCTTGCTTCCTAATTGTACGACCAGTGTGTGTAAGGGTATGCGAATGGTCTGGAAAAAATGACTCCGTTAAGAGGGGCATACGAATGGCTCGCAAGAAGGGGGCTTCGAATGGGATCCGTTAAGGAGAGGCCTTCGAATGGGCAATCCGGAAAGCGGTGGCTGTGCTTCGAACAAGGTTGCTATGTAGGTCGCCAATTGGATTTCAAGCAATTAAAAGAGGATTAAAACTGCTGCAACGCGTTACGGCAAATGAAAAAGAAAACTTCTCTACTTTTCTCTTCTCTGCCCACCCTCTCTCACTTTTTGTGTACATTGTTTTTTAATCTGATTGTGTTTTGTCGCTCGTCTGCTCTCGCCTGCTAAGGGATTTTTATTGGTGGGCTATATGCCAGGGTAAGGCATTTAAAGACAGAGGGAAAACAAAGTCTCATCCCTGCCATGTTGTTACAACATTTTTATACGCATTAACAAGGTAATTGCTGACGCTTTGAGCGCGGCGGCTTAAGGGACTTTGAAAATTTACTTTTTATTGTTCCTATAGAATAAAGATATTTTGTGTTCTTTGATGAGAATATAGGTATATACTTTCCGTAGAGTTGGGACGGAAAATTAGTCACATAATTTAATTTTATTTTTTGTTTTAAAGCAAATTTAAAGGAATACAAGGATTTTCACACAATAAAATCGTTCCTCCGATAAAAAAAACGGTTTTAATTTTTTCTTAAACGATTGGGGAAAATTCCAATTAAATTTCCATGCACATAAGTTGTGCCACACTCAATTAGAGGAGCAGCGGAAAGCAGCATTCAACGAATGATTGAATTAGAATTCACATACATAATATTTGCATTTCCATAAGCACTGTACACCTACTTAACTCTGGCACTTATTTCAGTTTTCTCTACGCTTCTCTTCCTCTCTTTTCTGTGAAGTTTTTTCAACAATTATTGAAAAGTTTTTTCTCCTTTTTTTTAAGTCCTAAGTTATGGCAGCATTAAGTAAACGTCAGGCATAATGTTTATGCATTTATAATACATAATACGGCAGGCAGAAGCGAGCAGAATGCGGGTGTGCTCGAACAGGAGGGCTCCGAACATGAGCACGCACAAAAGTATGCAAGAAAGTTATGCAAAGTGCAAGCGGCAGCCACGGCAGACGCCAGACAGCAGACAGGAGGGAGACATCAGGCCAAAGACAACTTGCACAGCGTTTGCCACTTGAAAAATGTTGCAGAATTTGAAGAAGAAAAAAGTAGAGAGAAAGGAAAATAGTGTCACAATGCATAATGGGTTAAAAGCACAGGAGCAGCAGCAGGAGCACAGGTCTACGACATTTTCCTGCCAACTGGCAACAGGATGCAGGTTAAGTTCTTGACGCCCAGTGCCACATAAAGTGGCAAAACTTATGCATGGACTTGTGTGTGTGTGTGTGCTTTCGCTACAAAAATTCAGGGCGTGGCAAGTGTCAACTTGTTTGATTTAGTTTTCTACCAGGGAAATATAATCAGAAGGCAGGCAGGCAGGCAGGCAGTTAGCGAGAAGAGCACACACCTCTCTATGGCAATTTCTCATGCACCAATCAGTGCCTCATTACATGCCACCATCCCCTCTAGCCATCCTCCATACTCCCCCTTTCTGCCCCCACCCTATTTCAAGTATATAAGCTTCCGCTGCCATAGCATGCTGACGTGTTTCCGGCAAGAGAAAAATTATGGAATAAGCAGAACAAAACCCAGCGAAAGAGCTCTCGACAATGAGATACCGCGGTAATCTGTGAACTTCTTAAATTAATCTGCAAATTAGCGGAAATTATCTACAAAATCTACAGCTATAAGATCTAGATCGAAAGATATTTTCTGGCTATTAAAATGCCTTTGAACGAATGGAACTATGTCCTTTGTTTCCCTAAAGCAAAGGGTATATACAAAATAACTCGTTGAGTGCATATATTTCATGTGATTTATGCAACTAACGAAAGGTGAAGAAAGTTTTTCTCCCAGCGAGTTTTAAGCGCCAAAAGTTGCAGTCAAGAAATTGCATGTCAAGGCGGCAGGAGTTTGATAAGGAAGGATAAGGATAAGAAAGCTAAGAAAAGCAGCCAGATTATGTAAAAAAAATGTATTTTTGATAAGGAATGTTGGCTAAGTAAGGAACATGGAGAACAAAATCATTTACAGCTTTTGAAATCAAAGAACTCCAACTTTTAGTCATAAGTACATCAAAAAAACAAGTGAAATTCGTCATTGTCTAGGATAGGAAAATTCTTTTAATGATTCTCCGCTTCACTGAAAAATCAAACAGTACCTAGAAAAATAGAAAGCAACAAAATCCACTTTAAGATTTAACCAGAAAGAATGCCATTCCACGGCCACATCTATTACATCTCCTTTTTTTTGTGTGTGTGTACAAGTAGTTGACTGTAATTAATTCTCAGTGTCCAGCTAGGAACGTTGCCAAACAACTTAATATATCAACTTTACGCCATGCCACGGCACACACTTCTTGCCACAAGGCGAAGAGTCAGAGGAGTTAGAGCCTTGATTTTGCCGCTTGACTAATTTAAACTTTCGCTTTTGTTCGCTTCGCTCTCTGTTTTCTGCTCCATTTTGTTGTTTGGGGCCAAAAGTTTTGCGTGAGCGAATTTTTGCAGCTTTTTCCACTGGCTCTTGGCTACCGCCCCTTGTCTGTGGGGTGGGGGATGGGGTGCATTTTCCGTTTTGTGTTTCCTTGTAAAATTAGTATTTGTCGTCGTTGTCGTTGGATGGCATCCAAAATGCTTTATCTTCGACTCCATTGGCTTCAGCAACAATTTGTTTTTCGCTTCGGCAAACTGCTGGCCTGCTCCCCCCCCCGCAAACACTTGATAAGCGAAAAACTTTCGCGTTTCGTTGGCCATTTCTCAACGTCTCGATTGTGCGAGGAAATGGAACAAAATGGAGAAAAAGAGTGTTCAAGGAAAAGTTGCACTTTAATTTCAGTTTTGCTATTTAGTTTCAACTCTCAAAAATGTTATCGCTCTTGGCAACTAATTTTTTTCATATATATATTTTTTACTCTTTTCAGGTATGTAACGTTGGAAACATAGAGGCAAAACTAAGGAAAGGAAACTCGTCTGCTGGCATTTTTTCTCATCAGCGGAACAAAAACTTTCAGCAAAAACTTTCTGTAGTAATTTTCAGCTCTGGAATGAAGTAGTTTCCCATTCGCGAAGGTAGTTTGGTTTCCGCCTGAACTCAATTTGTGGGTGAGATGGAGATTTCATACCTTAGAGACGGAGTGAATAATAAATGATCAGTGAGTAATAATGGCATTCATATCGGGCCATGCAGCTGAAAGAGAATTACTACAGCCAGGGTCTTCATTTGGGACGATTCAGCAAAGGAATTTTATAAAATTAAAATAACATAAGCCTGGAATGACAAAATGCACTGAATCCTTTATCCTTCAAGAATCAGAATGAAACATTTGAGATCCTAGAGCGCTCTGCCGCTAATAGTCCATTAAATAAATAAATTTTTGAACAAGTTTAAGGACTCATATCCCTGATGCAATGAATAATTGATTGTCTGCTGTAATTAAAAGTTTGCACAAGTGGGTTATTTTTTTGCAGCAGCCTGCTGCTTAAACTCTGAACTCAAAAGTAAATATTTGAATGACTTTCGTACAGAGAGAGAGAGCGCAAAGGATGAGGGCGCGTAGCAAGGATCAGCATAATGCTTGATGATGATGATGCTGGCCGTTGATAAACCCGATGACAGGACGACATTCATTCTCTCGCAGTCCCGTTGCGTCTTGCTCTTGTGTTTGTTTTTCTATATTCTTTTGGGGGAATGTGGAATGGCGCCTGTGGGTTTTTGCAATTAATTAAACCCTTGCTTCTGTCGCTGTCGGTGCTGCATAAATTATCAGGATATTCGTACTTTCCTTCTTTTAAATTATATAAATTAATTTACTGAGCAGATATTCCCGTTTGTCTTTCCGGCAACATTTGTTTTTATTTAAATTAAATTTTCACGCATCTGACGAACTCATAAAATGCACTCTACGCACCATAAATGCCGGCTAGAGCTTGTCCTTTTTGGTGAGATTTTTCCTTAAATGCCCCGTTGTGTGGGGCTTTTCGGTGGGTAGACGCTCGACTGGCATTTAAAATATGCAAGGCATTTGACATTTTAATCAACCATGGCCCTTCTGGCAGCCTGTAAGGGACCCCGAGGATAACCCAAAGTGCAAGGACCAAAAGCTTAAACACCAAATAGAGGAAAGAGCGTCCCACAGAGTCCCACATTAAAAGGAAGAGGACAGCAAAAAAAAAAAAACTTGAAAAACTTGCGGAAATTCCTTAATGAATACAAATGCGCTTGGCTGCTTCGGCCACTCGACGGCTAGGACTCCTCCGACTGCTGTTTTTGGTGCCAAACGGCACTGCCGCTGCCTGGGCCTGTCCTGAAGGAGCAGCCGGAAATCGATGTGGTCAGCGTAGACAATTCTCCGTTGCTGTTCTGCAACTATCTGCGACTTTTTATTTGTTCCATTTTTATTTTATGGTAATTTTTTAATGCAATTTTTGGATGCTTTGCATTTAGATTGCTTCCACGGGCTGCAACAGGCGTTTTAAATTAGTTTAGCTGCAATTAAAATGCTACTAAAGTTTGGTCTACTATGAGAAGATATACGTCCTGGAGATCAAAGTTTTTTAATTGATTTTCACGGATCAAATTTAATGTAATATTTGTACAAACTTTTCTAGAAATTTTTTACTTCTACAACTTTGAATGGCAGCTTATAAATATCCATGTCTATAAAATTACGTTATTTGCTGTTAAGAAATTTAAAAAACACTTAAGCTTAAATAATTACATTTAAATCGCAAAAATTCTATCTATACATTTGCCTTCCACTTAAAATGCAACCTCAGCATTCTGCCCATCAACTTGACGCGCTCTGAAGGATCTGCCGAAGGACAATGCCAATGCCAAAGGCTGGCAATGAGAATAGAACAAGTAATATACATGTAGTCAATGGAGAATATTTCGGGCTTGGAATATAATAGGATACCCTTTCTTTCATAGATATTTTTTTCAAAACCAAAGTGCATACCAGCAAAGTTTAAGAACCTAAAAAAAATACTTCAGATTTCATTCTCAATTTCTTTTGTAAAGGCAGAAGGTCGCAAAAGATACGGTTCTTGTGCTTAGCAATGTGTACCCTCGAATTCCACAATTCTAGGGTATAAATCTGACGAACCATACAATCTAATATACTAACAATACACGTTAGCTGCCTTGGCATTGATTTTTATTGATTTTACTGCTGACTTAGCTTACGTACAGCACGAGAATATAATAAACGACACATCCTTTGGATATTTGAGCCCCAGCTTACCCCCCAATGCTTATACCAAATCTAAATTTGGGCCACATGTCGTATGAGTAATGTGTGGGGGTGGATATGTATATTGAGTGCCATTTCCATTCCGCTCGCATCTCTCTGTCAATTAGTGCTCTGTGTGCCAACGCGTGTGTTCAATATGATAGGGAAATTAAATTAGGAACGATTTGGTGTGGGCAGGGGGAAGGCATGGCGATATTTGAGCACACAAAGTGAATTGCACATTTCACATTTGACAAATGCTGCTGTCAGTTGGTTAATTTTGAGATTAGTCTGCCAATTATGGGTTTTACTGAATAGGAAACGCAACGAATTGAAACTAATTTGCCACCGCGTCAACCATTTTTGAAAGCAATCTACAGTTTGCATTCACTGTAAGCTGACAGTTTTTTTGGTTTTTTTTTCTAACAAATATAAATTCTATAATTTGTAGAGGCCCAACCATAAGGCGTTATCCGCTTTAGTTTTACGGCTAGTACCTATAAATTCCACTATATCCGATGGATAAATAAAAATAAATCAGAGCCGATTCGATCATAAATATGGTTAAGCTGCTGTTCCTTTTTGTCCATGTATGTCATAAAAGGCAAAATGCTTACAAAAGGAATTTATTATACAAAGGTTAATAATACTCATAGTGCCTGTGGTCAATGGACAGCAGTGGGATGTGTGGCGTGTGGCTAAAGCCAATAATGTATGTATCCTAGCCATTTGCGCTGTGCGTTGTGTGATGCTTGTGTGGTTACAACTTCACACGCCACAAACCGAGCCACACCGAAACCATTGGCCAACCACAGGCATTACACCACTGACTGACCCGACCCGAGCCACAGTCTTTACAGAACTCTGGGCAGAGCCAGGATCATTTAAGACCTGGTTTTGGTTCAATTTGTATTCCAATATTTGTAACTTTCTATTACCCGCAATTAACGCAATTCGTGGCAGGGATTTAGTAGTTTTTAATTGAATTATTGGCTACATTTTATGCAGCTCATTAAATTTGTTCGACGCATTTGGGCATTTAATTAACAATTAGTAAACCAAATAATATTAACGATCCGATTTTTGTTTAGACAGGAAACGAAACCAATAAATCATAGAAATATGATGTAGTGAGAAAAGAAGGCTAGCTTCGGCACTAAAATCCACATACGGATGCATTTATTTTTCTATAAAAAAATAGATTATTAGCAAGGAGCCGTAGTTATTAAAAATGCAACTCAAATTTCCACTCAAACTAAACAATGCTGCAACTAGAATGTAGCTACATCTGGCTGCAATGGTAATGTGAGAGATACAAAATTGCATTTGCAATTGTCGTGTGGGTCTACCAAGGGGTTCTACATGCATACGAAAGTTTTTTTATTCTGTTGCATAGTTTTGGGTGCCGCCCTGCACTTCAGCCCCTCAAGCACACACACACACACACACAGTCCGTGTGTCGATTTCAATTTGAGTGGCAAGAGAGGCGTTCATTGGGGGCACAAACTGTGGGTCTGGTCTGCCTCTGTGTGTGTGTGTGCTCCAAATGCAAATAGATTAGCTTAATTAAATAGTTCTACCCTCAGCAGGAGAGACAGAGCATACTTTTTGGGGACAAATGAGCTAGCAATTGACATGAGTGTGTGGCATCCTCCGCCACTCATTCGGTCTGTCTCTCTATCTGCCGTTTCATTGGATCGTTGTACCCAATCCTCTAGTCTCGGTCTCGTTCTGGTTCTGGTAATTGCTGGCATTCATTTAAAATGCCAATTTAATGGATTGACAGTTTTTGAGATTTGTGTGTCTGTTTCGCTTCTAAATTGGTACTTGAATATTGAATTGCATTTTGAAGTGGATTGTAGAATTTTTCCCAAATTTTTCACATGCCTTAATGCACACCTAAAGCTATCCAAAATATCTCAAAAGTAAAATTTGCTTCCAAGATTGATTATACTTTTCCGCAACTTCCAACTTTACTTTGGTTGCTTCGCCACGCATGATGGATCATTGTGGTTTTGCCCAGAGATCCACAAAAGCTGGCCACATAATTTACGTTATGCTGGAGGCCAAATAATGTGTATGCCCCACTTGCAACACAACAGCAGCAGCGGCAGCAACAACATTTAATGGCACACACAAACACCACCCTCCATGAAGCCAAGGGAGACGCATAAATTGCGGAATTTTGTGGGCAGGAACATAACTAATGGTAATTAGCTACTTTATGTCACAGTTTCCATACACTACCCCTCTTCCGAGAGGGACACGCACACACACACACACAAATCGTCTATCGAAAGCTCTGGGGTCGGTCCCCAGAAACAGCAGCAGCAGCAGCACTTTATGTGGGAGATTTAACGGCTCGTGTACATTTTGTGGTCAATTGGGAATTGCAATTAACGCATAGTTGTATTTTTATTGCCCTTAGGTCTGTGCGATGCCCAACCAAATCCTCTCACTTATTTGCCCATGAAAATGAATAAATAAACCCACGCCCCCTCGGCTGGGATCCTTGTTTATCTTTTCCTTGGGTTTATTGTTGTTGGTTTACCTTTTGTATTTTTTTATTCTTTTATTGGTTGTGGCCTTCGGCTCCTCATAAATTTTGGGCTGTAAAATTGCCTTCTTTTTGGTGTGTGTTGGTGTAACTGTAAAAACTACAGTAATACTAAACAAATAAAATATGGCTAATGGGAATTTTTTGGGTTTTATTATACAAATTTAATAAAGGAAATTTAACAGATTTATTGACAATTTATCAATTAAATTACCTAATTGCTGACTAAGAACGCAAATAGGAGCAGAAAAATTAACATTTTTACAATGCAACTAATTATGTAAAAAATTTAAATAGTATTCGTAATTCTAAAGAAATTTCCATTGGTTTAATTACTTTTAAATAGTTTTAATTAAAATTGACCATTTACGAGTATTTGTCTCAATATTGAAAGCTATTCTATTCAGTTGTCCCTTCTCTCCAACCATTTTCATTTGGAATTTTTTGCTGTTGCTGCCACACCAATTTAATTAATTTAGAAACTAAATAGAAAGGACATTCCGCCCAACAGGCGTTCAGGAGCACTCGCTTTAGTGTGTGTCAGTTTTATTAACTTAAATGACCATCAAATGAAGTGCCAAACCCGTACGTGCCAATGCAATGCCAAACTGTCAGCACACACACACACACACACAAATACTGGCGAAAAAAAACGAAGAGAAAATACGTGCAAGTTTATAATTAAAACAAAATATTTTAGTTTCCAACATTTAATTGTAATTTAAAGCACGGGGGGACTGAGTGAGCAAAAAAAACGAGAGAACCAGGCAGCAGGACCAGGACCAGGACCATCAGGCACTAGAGCTAATCAGTGTTCCGCCACCTGGTAAATATTTCACGCTTCTTCCCAGCAACCAGGTGCCGAATGCGGTGCAACGTAGATGCTGGCTGCCTTGCTGTCTCTGCGAAGGTGGGCGGATGGCTGCCTGCTGTCGGTTTGGTGTAAATGTGTCTGAGGCGTCGTTGGGGTTTTGGAAATTTATAACAGCCCGAGAATGAAATGAAATCCA